TAGCTTAGTTTCCTCCGTCCTCCTTCATTTACACTGTGTGAAGTGGCAGACAAAGGGTTCTGCTGCGGGGTTGAATCTCCGGTGGTAACTCGTCGACGGGCTCGACAAGGCGTCAACACACCATCCAGTATTTTGTAGGGTTGTGAATGGCCATTGATACCTTCGTTGTTGACATTGACACTGTGGTCGGCAGCTGAGGCTGTCATAGCTGGCAGGTGGAGGGAGGCCTGATGTTTCCCTCCCGAAGGTGGTGGGGTCGGGTTCGAGTGATGGTAGGTAGATGAAGGGGAGGCAGAGGGAGTTTTTCATGGAAGAATAGCGCTTCAAGGAGGAAGGAGGACATTGACGACCTGATTCGAGATGCCTTCTTTTTCGAGTTTGACATTTCGCCGTCTCAAAGTCTGCCGCGGGTGATGCAGTTTTGTGTGTCGACACGATCTCAGGGTTTCACGTTCAATAGTGCTTTCTGATTTGGTTGTTCCTTGATAATCAGTTTGACTTTGTACCACTTGTTTGTCTTTTCTATTCTGATTTCTAAGTTCGTAGTGTTTTCTGATTTGGTCAAAAACCGGCTTGACTTTGTACTACCTGTTTGTCTCTTTTATTCTGATTTCTAAGTACGCATGTTGGAATTCTTGATGTTCATTGAAATGATGACGATCTAATCAGATTTGCTGAATTTCGAGTGAATCTTGATTGTTTCTGAAATAACTTCTGGGCAATATTTCTCAATTGGAGATTCGTAAATCAGAGCTCAGGTCTGATATCAAAGGATGAGTACTGAAAATGATTGGCAAATGGTTTTGAACTTCTTGAAGTTCAGTCTAATTAGCAAGTAACTCTCTGGAATTTTCCTAAAGTACGGCTTTTTCTCAATTTGATGTCCGTAAATCGGAGTTTGCTCCGATCTCAGAAGTAAATTGTCACCTAATGGATTACTAATCAACTGAGTCTTAGTCGAGTAGTCTAGTAAGGTGTGTGTTGTTAAATTTGTAAAGTAGAATCAGCTTCGATCTCAAATAGTGGCTACTCAAGTAATCGGTCTTACTTTGTTGTTCTTAGCAATTGAGCCTCAGTCTGTGGTGTTGTGGGATCGGGGTCATAGGTGTTGAATGGATTATTTCCTTTAGGGTTGGAGTCCCTCCCTGCGAGGGTTACACAAGGTGGGTGGTGTGATCTTTGAGAGGGTACGGGCGGTATTGAGGGTTTGTCCTTTTCTGGGCCACGCTGATTTTTGGGTCGGATCAGCTATTGCGGTTGGGGAGAGAGGACAAGGGATGCTGATGTCAACAGGGCGAGAGTTGAGAGGGTTGTTCCACTTGGAGGGGGTGGGGCAGGAAGGAAGGGGGATCTCCGGGCTCTGCGGGGGCATACTTTAGGGGGTACTGTATGCGACTGAGGGAGCAAGAGTGGTATTCTGGGGGGCTGTTCTGAACTGGGGCTGGGAGGTGGGGGGCGCCTTCCAACGGAGGCAGTGAACAGACAGGGGGTTGTCTTTTGGGGGAGAGGAGTAATCCCTTTGGTTCTTGTGACCCCTTTACATGTAACTGAGACTTCAATAGGCGCTGGAGTTTCCATGGGGTTTACCCTCTTCCTGTGGGAATAGTGGGCACATATATATTCATGTGATTTTTCAGAATCTTTTGATTTCCTGTTTTTCCTAATTGAAAATTTCTTTCAAGGTTTGGTGTTGAAGGCAGGGGGTTGTGGTGGCTGTGACGGCGGGAGATGACGCGCTCTGCGGCGTAGGGGCTAGCCTGTAAGGTTGAAATAAGGTACAACGGAGGTGGAGATGGTGGCTTCATCGTGGTAAGACTTGCCAGAGTAGGGCTGAGAGAAATTTTTTGGGAGATTTCTACAACCAGTCCATGAAGGAGATGAATGATGAGATCTACAACTAGGGTGCTGATTGGTGGCTTGACTGGTATTTGCCTTAGTCCTGAGTCCCAGTGGTTTGCCAATAGACGAGGCTAGAACGACGCTGGTCGGTGCTGGGGCTTGGTTGCGCTGCCCTGTAACTCAAGTTGTATGAGGGCATGAGACCTGGTAGAGAGATCTAGAGAGTTGTCGAGGGAGGAAGGCACTCTAGTGTCTTTTGGTGAGCTGGTGCCTACCGTCTTCACCCGAATAGAACGACCGGTCATCATCGTTGCATCTGGACAGAAAATGGGTCAAATACGGCTATAATGACCCGGCGTTATATTCGGGTTAAGATGGTAGTCAATACTGGCTGGATCCGGGGCAGGTCGCTTTGCCTTGTGGCCTAGCAGGTGGGGGGGTTTCTGGGGTGGGTCGTGCCACTCTGTAACCTAGCAGTTGGGGGCATGAAGCCTGGTAGAGATTGGGCATCGGGATATAGGGGTGAGGCAGGTAGGGTTGGGCTGCTGAAAGGCCCTAAGGCAGGTGTTTTTTTCGTTCTAAATGCTCCTTTGGTACGAGCTTTGGGGGATAGAGAATTTTAGTGTTCTTGTGTAGATTACACAGTTGTCTTTCTTAGCCAAAGTCGGGTAATAGCCCCGGTATCTCAAGGATTTCTCCATAAAATTTCTCAATTTCTCAATATGATCTTGAATGGGACACTGGGCCCGTTTCCCAGCACGTCGTCATCATCATCAGCAGCATCAAGGTACTGCTCGTCATCATCATCAAGGTGTATGTCTTCACTCCTGTTCGGCGCTAATATCACTACTACTATCAAGGAGCCGTGCATCAGGGGAGTTGCTCGTCACTCACTATTGTATCACCATCGTCAACTTTCTCTCCATGATACGGCACGGGTGGCAAAACTTGATGTCATCATAGGGCTTTGCGCATCATCATCATCATCATCATCATCATCATCATCATCTTTAGGTCATTATCCAAGGAGCTCGTCATCACACCATCATCATCTTGTAGTCATCATAGGGCGCTATGCGTCATCATCCTTACCATCATCATCATCATCATCATCATCATCATCATCATCATCATCATCATCATCATTACTGACATCACCATTACCATCATCATCTTCATCATCATCATCATCATTATCAACATCACCATCATCATCGCTATCATCATTACTATCATCATCATCATCATTATCATCATCATCATCATCATCAGTAGTTTGTAATCATAGGGACCGTTGGTGCTGCTCTTTGATAAGATCAGCATCAT